TTTTTTTTTTTTGGCGGCCATTTTTTTTTTATTTATATACTAGAACTTGATTATGCGCAATTACATTCATAACATTTTGGCTAACTTGTGCATGGATCATGTTAGTGGCTCATTTCACATTCACTCATTAGTTGGATCTCTTGGGAATATTTGCCTTTTGTTTTGTAGTAAAGCCTTCTTTAGGTCACCCTTAGTTTGCCTAGCCGCCCTCTTAGAGTCACCTCATTGCCTCATGTAATCTAGCAGTAAGGAAGAAGATTCGATACGGATGAGCAATGAGAATTTGTTAGATTTGGCGATGTGTGGAGTTCTTTCCTCTTGTGATGTTGCGCTTCCTCTGGAGACACCACCTTTGGATCTATTCTAGACTCGATTTGAGCAATTGTAGAGGCGAGCCAACTGACCTTGCTCTTAACAAACAAGTCAATGACTAACGTATCCTGGTGAAGTGCAACCGGCTGATGCCGCTTTCAGGTGCAACCACACACTGTAGGTTCACGCTAGTGCACGTGTCGTATCTGTAATATTGGATTTTAGAGTCTGGAATGTCAATCCCACGGAAAAAGAGGTACTTCAAAATAGGAAAAGTACTAGTATTAAGTCCAGACCTGAAAAGTTGAAAATGTTAATATTTGAAAAACTAACCTGTTGTGTTGCAATTGATGCCAAATATAAATCATACTTAATTAATCCTACTTTTAACTATTTCGATTAAAATATATCAAATACTTAGGAGGCTCTTCCTTGTAATGAGTTAATTGAATTGCATGGAATGTAAAGTTGTAAGTACAAAAATATCTAGTGATAAATAGGAGCAACAATCTTTTTTATCTTCTCCAGAGTGCATAAAGAAGTTTGTATATAAATGACTTTAATTCCTTAAATCTTATAAATATCCCTTCAAAGCATATTTTCCTAATATTTACATCTCCTTGCAAGGCGTGTCAAAATATACCACATAGTTTAATGTGATTAACCCAATTGATTCTACCATACATTTCCAAAGACTTATGATTCACAACACATTTATCATTCGTTTGGCCAGAATGAAAAGTAAATTTAGTTCTTGAAGTTAATCATCATCATTTGAAAATAAAGAAATTACATAGCACTTCACGTTCCATTCATCCTACCTAATCAACACAAGAAAGAGTAAAAGGTTTACCCAATAAACATGTTACTTTCACCAAACAAATGCACTGAATATAAAAGAAATCCACTAAATCTTTGTTACAACAGAAATACACAAAGCAATAAACAAAGATACTTAGTTTTTCCTCCTTTACAATGACCAACATCAACACTAAACAACACCCCTCCTGATTTCCCCACCCTTGCCCGGTAGAGCACCACTTCCTCGACACTTAGAAGAAGAACTATGATTCCCTATAGCAAGAGAAACCCCCCTAAGTAATCAATCTCTTTTCAATCTCTCACAAAAGCATCAATCCTATATCAATCCTTCATCAAGGCAGCAATACATGATTATTTATAAGCTTTAATTCTTAGCATTCACCAATCCCACCTTCAGCACACGATGTCCCCACGACCTGACAATTGAATTATAACAACTACCCAAAATAGTTACTGGTGTCAAGGGGTTGGCGCATAGGCATCAGGCTCTCCGTATGATTAAGGTTGAACGGGGACCTAAGCCTCAACCACTGGGGTATGAAATGTTGGGATCGGTGCCTAGGCGCCAGCACCACTTTTCTTCTATGAGCTCTAAGGGATTGTTTGGGGCAGCTACAGCTTCTCAGCTTTTCAGTTGCAGCTGCGCTGCCCCATGAAGCTGTTGTGGAGAAGCTGACTAACAGTTTGTTTCAGCTAATTGAAAACAGTTGTGTGACAGTTTTTTTAAAAAAAAATGTTCATTTTACCACTATTTAGTGATATTGTTTATAACAAAAACTGTCATAATTATGATTTTGATGCTTCAAAAGCAGAAATTCACTTCATAACAGTAAAAAAAATTTAGATACACCTTCACTTAACAAAGAGTACCAAGAGTGGTATGTGTAAACAAATTTATATAAACTAAGGTAAACAAATACATTGCAATTGAGTGGTATATATGTAAACTAAATCATAGAAATTGAATGTTATGTATGTAAACGCTACATAATAATTAAGTGGTATATATGTAAACTAATTCATTGAAATTGAATGATATTTATGTGAACAGCTACATAACATTTGAGTGGTAGGTTTATAAATCTCTTTTTTTTTGCAATACATAGAAATTGGGTGGTATGTACGTAAATATTTTTTTTCTTTTTTTATTTGTTTGTTGTAAATAAAAAGAATTGAGTAGTATGCATGCAAATTTTCCTTCTCTCTTTTTTTTTTTTTTTTTTTTTTTTTTTTTCCTCTTTTTCTCGAAGAAGGAGAGGCAGAGGAAAAAGTGCCTGATGGAAGATTTTTTGAAAGGAGGAAGGCTCACCAGGGGGAAGCTTGCTGGAGGGGGAACATGGTTCGGGTGTTTCGGTAGAGGTGGATGAGTGATGTTGGTGAGTTGGAGCTGCTCAGTTGGAGGATTTATAGGGAGCAGAGGAGTTTAAGTTATTGATTGGAGTGAAGAAGGGGTGACAGCTCTCGGGAACGAGGAGGAAGGAGCTGCCTTGGTTGAGTGTGGGAGGAGAAGAGACGCTAGGGCAGCATAGGCTTGATCTCCAGAGAATGGGGAGCGCGGGACAATGAAGGTAGAAGCCGCTCGATATGCGAGGCCGCAAGGTTGATTTCGTTGTCCGCGTTTCCCTAATTTTAGGGTCTGTTTGGGGCAGCTGCAGCTTATTCAGCTTCTGCTGATAAGCAGCTTATCCTCATAATCCGTTGATGAGCAGCTGATCCGGATAAGCTGTCTGGCTGTTTTGTTGGCGCTTATGGGAAACAACTGATTCTGAAAAATTGACCATTTTGCCCCTGTTCTGAATAAACAGTTTAGTTGTTTGGTTAGTGCGTTTTGTAAACAGCTTATTTGGAAAAAAAATTTTAATTAAATGAATAATTTGTGCAGCAGAATTTGTTCTTTTCTCAACAAAATTAAAGATCACTATTCATACAAGAAAATACAAAAAAGTTGATTTATATTTATATAACTAAAACATATCCGATCACATCAAACGAATACGTTACTCATACAAAAGTCAAACGAACCAGCACATACTACTACAAAGTATAATGAGAGCCCATAAAAAAGAAAAACTAACAAGTTAAAATGACAAGTAAAAATAGAATAATGTTAACTTTATAATGTAGCAGCATATCACGACACATGTCACCTGACTCTGAAACTACAGAACCCTGAGCAAATCTATCTGACTGGGATACCGTAAAAATAGAAGCACTCGAACCAGATGCAGTGTTCTGAAATGTTGATATCGACGAACTCCGATCTAGGGTATCCTTCTAGGATATGATAGAAATAGACTTCCTGTCGGCCCACCTGAAGAAACTGCAGTCCTCCTGCAGCTGTGCCCAGCTCGGGCACCTGTAAAATTGTCTTTCAAAGCTATGTGTCTGGCGTGACGTGAGTAGCAAGGATGGTAGTCCGCACCGACACATCACTTTCTCGGACTTCCCTGAATATCTGAAACTCATCGTTCTGCAGTTACTAAAATCATAATAGATCAGTCCAAAAAATGACAATAATGACATACAACATTGTAAAATAGGTATTAATATCCAACAGAAATTATAATCATACATAATGTTGTCAAGTCGGACAGATTTATGACGCAAAAATATTTATTATTTTTAGAGATCGTGGAACTCATTCATTTTAACTCAAGATAAAATATAAACTATTTGTTTCTACTGCATTGTCTGACTGGGATACATTCATCACCATTAACTTCATACATAGTAAATTTCACAATTACTTGAAATTGGTTGTAAGCATGCATGTTCTTCATTAATTCAGAATGAAGGCTAAATGAGGTCAAACGCATCAACAGTTATATCCGTTAGTAGAGGAAACAAACTAGCTTGGATAATTTGAAAATGTAAATATTTCAGTTACATTTTTCTACTCCGAAAAAGTACAGAAATTGCTATTTTTAAAAACTGACTTTGAAGCTCCTTCAACATCAGTGCATTAGAAAATTTACAGATATCATCAATATACAGATATCATTCAACAACTCTACAGAACAAGAATAAAAAATGAAAATTTACATACATACCACTAAAAAATGAAAATTTGTTTTGAAACTCAGAACTCAAAGAAAACCAAAGAAATGAAAATTTACATACATACCACAAAATTCCTATATATATACATATTTGACACCTAAACTTCATTCTTTTTTTTTTTTTTTCATAGAACCTTACCTGTGTATAAAAGAGGTATATATCACTTTCTGAAGCTGAACATGTGGTATTTCTGATGTGATATGTAAGGTATGGGTTCCATGAATATAAAAGGTATACTTTAGATGCTAGATATGTAAATACATATGAATTGGAAAATTGAGACATATACATGGAAATTGAGACATATAAATGCATAACTACCTGCAACATGGATATTCAGAGATATAAATGCATAAGAATTGCTTGTGCCTAACTACCTGCAACAAATTCCTGAACCTTGACTTCACGATATAGGATAGCAAGCCAATCAATTCGGCACTTCCACAGGGCACTTCCACAGGGCATAAATGAAGAGTCTTACATACATAGAAGGTTTGGCGAGCCATGACACACCTCCAGATAAAATTTAGAAGGCAACACTACCGTATAAAATCAAATTTCTGCCTTCTACCATACAAAAATTGAAATACTCTCCAACACAATATTAAAATCAGAAGATAATTGCAAAGCAAGTGACCATAATTGACCAAACAACAAATACTTTAACATGAATACTTTAACATGAATTTTTCATGAATTTTTCAACAACAAATACTTTAACATCAGAAGATAACAACAAATACTTTAACATGAATTTTTTACTCAACCAAACAACAAGCAAGTGACCATAATTGCAAGGCCTTCGAACTTAGCAATTTATATACAGTTTCAATACAAGGAAACAGAAGCAAGGGACCTAGTGGCCTTATAACCAAGCCCAATCACAGTCAAAACGACCTTAGCGTCCAAACAGTTCTAAGACACCAAGAATGTCTGATTCTAAGCCAAGTCAAGCCCGTACAAGATCTTAAAGAGAATTTGCTATCACTTTATGGGATGTTCCACCGCACAAGAACCACCAATTAGGCTGTTCAAAATTCGTTCCATGCATTACTTTTATGTTCAAAAGCTGTTCTATGCATTACTAGTTGTTCCCTCAAAACCTGTGGATTTCAGCAAATTCAACATGCATTATAGCTTAGTTGAAATCAAACTCCATTGTAATAAAAAATTGCATTACATTGTTCTACTCCGCAAAAGTAAAAAAATTGCTATTTTGAAAAACTGATATTGAACTTCGTCAAAGTACAAAAAATTGCTATTTCAAAAAAAATGACTTTGAACTTCGCTATACAACTACTGCACCCACGAGAAGCAGTGTCATGATCGCACAATTTCGTCCGCTATCTGGTCTCGCAATGTCGTCATTTCCCTTGTACCTTCACCTTCGTGCATGTAAGAATGTTCTGATTCATCCTGGGGTATGGGACGTCCGACATGGAATTCAAATGCTTCTTGTGGAATATGATGCAAGTTTTCATCTACAGATGCAAAATCCTCATCGGAGCATGAGTGGTGTCGCCGTATGTAGTTATGCAGAGCCATTGTTGCCACAACTATCTTTACTTGCTTCGGAAATGGGTAGGTTGGCATGTCACGTAATATCACCCACTTCTTCTTCCATACCCCAAATGACCTCTCAATGACACCACGTAAAGAGGAGTGTCGTTTGTTAAAAACTTCCTTTCTACCACGTGCAACCCCACTTGACCTCTCGAAGTCCGGAATGTGATACTTCGTGTCGGCATAAGGCTTTAGATAACCCCTTTGTAAAGGATATCCGACGTCAACTAGATAATATTTATCTGCACAAAATACATATTTTAGTAACGACTCAGGAATATCTGATATATTTGTCATAACAACGTACCAGGAGGGGGGTATGGGAAGTAATGAGTTCGACGTCTTGTTGCAAATTTAAAAACACGACTATCGTGAGCGCTGACTTCCCATCCGACCATCACAAATGTAAAACACATATTAAAATCACAAATGGCCATCACATTCTGTGTGGGAGAACCACAACGTCCAATGTAGGCTACTTTGTCGGTTCCAGATACACGTG